CTTCCTTTGTTCCAACCTGGTAAGTAATTTTTTCTTTCCAACAATCCTTTCCTTATCTTTGTGTTCTTTCAAATATTATTATAATTTACACTTCTTGTAACATCCCACATCGACCAACGGAGAGGGGGTGATGTGCCTTATACGTATATGCCCACCTCCATATAGCACGATGCCTTTTGAGAACTTACTAACTTCGGATTCCATCGGAACTCCGAATTTAAGCGAGTTTGGTAGAGAGCAATCCTAGGACGGGTGACCTACTAGGAACTTCTCGTGTGAGTTCCCAGAAATAAAACCGTGATGGCGTGGTCGGGGCCTAAAGCTGACAATATCGTGCTACGGCGGAGTTGAGACTGGAATGTGACAGAATGGTATCAGAGCCACTCTCCCGTGTGGTGCGAGTGTGTCGATGAGGATGTTGGGCCTCTAAGGGGGGTGGATTGTAACATTCCACATCGACCAACGGAGAGGGGGTGATGTGCCTTATATGTACATGCCCACCTCAGATAGCATGAGGCATTTTGGGAACTCATTGGCTTCGGATTTCATCGGAACTCCGAAGTTAAGCGAGTTTGGTCGAGAGCAATCCTAGGATGGGTGACCCATTAGGAAGTTCTCGTGTAAGTTCCCAGAAACAAAATCGTGAGGGCGTGGCCGGGACCCAAAGCAGAAAATATCGTGCTACGGCAGAGTCGAGACTGAGATGTGACACTTCTTATCTGCCAAAGGAAAGAATCGAGTTGTTTACCATTTTTTAATAAATGCGAGTGTTTATCTTATTTTGTTTATTTTATTAAATAAATTGTGACAAAAAAAATTACCATTGTTTAACAAATAATATTATATACACTAGGTTGGTGGGGGCAATGAGCTAGTCATAATAATATTCATTTGTATATTCTGATTAGTGTTCTAAAAAATAACCTAGGCGGTGGTGACCCGAGGCGTTTTCTTGCAAATTGGTTGGAAAAATCGGCTAGGCTCTAGGCGGCGACTAGGCGGGGCTAGGCTGTTACGTGGTTTTTTTTTTTTTTTTTTTTTGAAATTAAAAAAGAAAAAAAAATCCTATCTAATTTAGTCTATGTCCAATTTAATGCAAGGATTATGAACAAGAAGAAAAGAGAGAAAGAGAAGAAAGTGGACATACTACTTGCAAGTGAAGCTAGTATGATTCAAGGATGGATTGTGGAGGGTGGTGATGAAGAACTTGAGTTTGGTTCGGGAATTAGAGAGACATTAGAGGTAGGTAGTTTCCTAGAGCCTGGGGGAGTTCTAAAAATGTTGAAGTAAGAGAACTTCATGAAGAAGATTTTATATCAGATGATGACACGAAAGAAGAAGAAAGAGATGATGAAGAAGTTGAGTTTGAGTCCAACACGGAGAGTCTTGGAGGGATATGGTGAAGAAGAGTTTGATGCCTAACTTTGTAACTTTGCAAGTATTTACATTACTATATTTCCTTATTTTCCTCCTATTTTGCATGTTATGTGGTTTTAAATTGTCAACTTCTTGTACATATGTCCTCCTACAATACTCCTTACTATGGTTATATGGCATATATGCTTAATGTGTTTTTAAAATTTGGACTTTAAATTTTTCATGGGTCTTGTATGTAGGTCGGGAACTTAAATGAACATGAAATTTGAAAATTACGAGCGTATTAGTTGCCGCTACTAGATGGTGTATTTGTGATGGAAATGTATTACACTTATTTGACTTCTAACTAAAAGATTGTGCCATTGAGTGGGAGAACTCAACTTAGATTCTTTCTTTCCTTAAATGCTAAGGAATTTCCTTATGTAGAAAGATTAAACCACAATATGTAAATGGTGAGTTAAAGCGACACTAGGAGTTCAAGCGTTGACTCAAACAGAAGAAGAAATTGGTTAAATGCTTGTATTAAAATGACAATGGTGATTCAAAGAGAGATTGACACTAATATATAACAAAGTTACTACAATAGTTTTTCGTAAAGAGAAATACTTGTAAAATTACGAAGCCTTGACTTTGAAAGAGATGAGAAAGCTTTGCTTGATTGAAATCATTGAATGAAGAGGTTTACTCCTTTGGTTTTTGGGAGATTTGTTTGTTTGTTTGGTTGATTGTCTATTTCTTTTTCTCCTTGCTCTTCTATATTTGCGCTCCACCAAACCCTAGCCTTCACTCATCTTCATCAAAATATCTATTTGCAGACTACAATTAAGAATGCCTCACACAACCACATGATTTTTCACCACACCAAGACAAATTTTCCCATAGTCATGGAAAAGCCATGAGGCTATAACCCAAATGTTCATGAAAACCAACTTAGAATAATGGGCTCCGAATGTAAGGAGTTTTAATCCCAAAATTGGTCATTTTATGGTTCAAACAACATTAGTCGTTTTTTTTTTCCCGTCATTCCTTTGGTGTAATACAGGCTTCTAATATAGGAAAAGACATCATGCACAATATCAATGAAAATATGATAAATTTGTACAAGCATATGTAATTTGACTCTATTGTTATAAAGTTATGACTTTGCCATTGCATATGACCCCAACCATCAATGCAATCCAATGAACCTAACCGTTTAATTTAAAGGACCTCATTCAAGGATTTAATCTCAATTTTATTGTAAGGAAGATACTTAGATGGGGATCTAATAATTTGTTGGTTTGGATCGTTAAAATTCAACATGGAGTGCCTTGAACAATAATTCTATTCCAAGTATTCATCTAAAGAGATACCTCCTAAGAAGGGGACCAAGGGGTCTTATGCATGATGAAATATACACACATGAGTGCTAATGTGACATCCCACATCACCCAGAGGTGTGGATCCTATAAGCCTTATATGTATATTCCTATCTCAACCTAGCACGAGACCTTTTGGGAACTCACTAGCTTCAGGTTCCGTTGGAACTCTGAAGTTAAGCGAGTTCGGGAGAGAGCATTCCCAGGATGGGTGACCCACTGGGAAGTTCTCGTGTGAGTTCCTGGAAACAAAATAGTGAGGGCGTGATCGGGGCCCAAAGCGGACAAATTCGTGCTACGGTAGAGATTAGAATATACATATAAGGCTTACAGGATCCACTCCCCTGGGCGATGTGGGATGTCACAATCCACCCCCCTTAGGGGCCCGACGTCTTCCTGGGAATGCTCTCGTGTGAGTTCCTAAAAACAAAACCGTGAGGGTGTGATCGGGGCCCAAAGCGGACAAATTCGTGCTACGGTAGAGTCGAGCCTTGGATGTGGTGGGGGCCCAGGCCGGAATGTGACAATTTGGTATTAGAGCCAATCCCTGGCCGGAAGTGTGTCGACGAGGACATCGGGCCCCTAAGGAGGGTGGATTGTGACATCCCACATTGCCTAGGGGAGTGGATCCTGTAAGCCTTATATGCATATTCCCATCTCTACCTAGCACGAGGCCTTTTGGGAACTCACTGGCTTTGGGTTCCATTGGAACTCTGAAGTTAAGCGAGTTTGGGCGAGAGCATTCCCAGGATGGGTGACCCACTAGGAAGTTCTCGTGTGAGCTCCCAGAACCAAAATCGTGAGGGCGTGATCGGGGCCCAAAGTGGACAAATTCGTGCTACGATGGAGTCAAACTCAGGATGTGGTGGTGGCCTGGGCCGGGATGTGACAGCTAAGACGTTAACCAATTAATAACTTAAAATAATATAAACTACTAATCATTCGTCTAGACCCACTCCACATTGTTATCACAAGAACGGAACCTTTCATTATTTAGGTTCTCATAATTTATTTTTTCAAAATATAAGTCAAATCAGAAATCCTTTGGTGCTTTTGTTATTATTTTGAATATTTCATAACATTGTGTTCATCCGCCACCTAAAAATTATGGATTATTTGTAAAATTTAGATGGAGGCCCTTTGTTTTTAACTGCTATATTTTGTTTGTCATTTTTTATTTTTGAATTTTTTATTTTTTCAGTTTTGTTAGAAATTGAAATATTACAGGTAGCTACTGCACCAAAAATAAGTTTGCTCGAGTGACTGGAGAATTGTTTCCTATCTTGAAAGGTCCTTGGTTCAAAACAGCTTGCATGTTCATGTTTAAATTTTATCCGCTTAATAAGTATAAAAATTTGCAAAAATAAAAATAAATATAGCAGAGCAGAACCACAACTAGCATGGAAGAGTAATGCAATAATATCTTTACATGTAACTGTGTACATATAAAAAAAATTTGGGACCTCCTAAAACGAGGGTAGGGCCCTGTGTGGTGGCACCTTTTGTACACCCTCAGAATCAGCCCTATTATCCACTTACTAGGTGATGGTTAGATAATCAAATTGCTTCCGATTTCAATGAACTTTTGAAGGCTGATCTTTCGGTGATAATATATAAACAATGAGGCATTTAGATTATGAGAAATTTTGTAGAAAGGTCCAAACAAGTTATTATCGCTGTAATGAATTAATAACTTATTAGCATTTAAATATATTTGCGTAGGAGGAGACCTTATTATAATTTGCGACCAAGTATATCGTTCAAACAGTCAAAGAAACCCTTTTCATGGTTTGTAAGACTTTCAATAAACCAATATGTTAGTTTGTTCCCTTTATAGTAATACTAATATTAATTGAAGTATACAAACAAGAATTTACTTTGAATTTCTGCGGAATTCAACGAAGAAAGAACTGACAATGAAATTCGCTGAATAGGTTTCCCACGTGCATTTTATATTATATTTGGACCTCGACATTAATTTGGTGGAAAAAAGAGAACATTAACTTTTAATAGGTTTCCCAATGCATGTTATATGTGTATTACAGTAAAGGCAACTTCACACAGAGAGGGACCTTCAACGTGTTTGAAGGGTTTTCATTAGTTTATTTCCAAAATTTAACTGGGACCGTCAAATTTTGAACAGTGACACATTCCATTCTAAAGAATTAACTTGGAAAATAGAGGCTTCAAGGCTCTATTTAAAGCGGTGCAAATCAAAGCACATCTGGCATGCACCAAAAGTCTCATTATTCAACAGACAATTGATTAAAGAACAAGGCAGAAGAACAAAACTAGGGTTCCATACAAAAAACCATGCACCGTTCAGCAGCCATTAGCTTGAAACACAATCTTTTCAGCTACCAAAAGCAAACCCAATTGGCCGAACGCGCTACGAAATCTTGCGATGTGTTTCTTAACCATAGAGGAATCGACACGAAGAGAACAATCGTCTCTTTGCTTTACGATCATCTTTCTCTACTCAACTTGCGCCCTTTCTTAGATAACAGGACCATGAGACCTGGAGATAAACTGTTTGATAAAATTGATGGTGCAATAAGGGGTTGTAAGGTTGGTGTTGCTGTGTTTTCACCTAATTATTGTGACTCCTACTTTTGCCTTCATGAACTGGCCCTAATCATGGAGTCCAATAAGAAGGTCATTCCCATATTTTGTGACATTAAACCCTCTCAGCTTTGTGTCGTGGACAATGGGCAATGTCCGCCGGAGAAGCTACAAAGTTTTAGGTTGGCTCTTGAAGAGGCTAGGAACACCGTAGGGTTGACATACAGCTCGTCAAAAGGGTAAGATCGATGAATCTATGTTCTTTTTTCATTTTTTGTCAATCTATATTCTTTCTTTCCTTTTTGGTTTATATAGAGCAGCAATACTTATAATATTTTGAAAAAAATTAATTAATTTGTGCCCCATAGGTCCATATAACCATTTTGCTTTTAGTTTTTAGTTTTTTTTCATCAAAATAGAAAACTCACTTGTTATTTACTTTCAGTTTCAAACAAATAAAAATTGAAAATTGAAAACCAAATATTAGAACTCAAGAAATTTTTTTTCAATTTTTGAATTTTCATTTTCATTTTTTCACTGAAGAGCCATTTGATAACTCATTTTTAGTTTTTATTTTCACTTTTTTCTTAATTGAAAACTAAAAACCAATTTGGTACCAATACTTTCAATTTTTATTTTTAAAAAACTGTTAAACAAAAAAGTGAAAATTACTTTATTGAATTTTCAATATTTGGCCTTATGTTTTTTGTTTCAAATTTTTTTTTTTTAACTGGAAATTGAAAGTAGTTTCCAAATAGGTTTTTAGTTTTCAAAAAAAAATGAAAACAATGGTTATCAAATGGCCTCGAAAGTTGATACCAAACAAGTTTTTTAGCTTTTTTTTTTCACTTTAAAAAAAAAAATTGGAAACTCAAAACTCGTTTGGTTACTATTTTCAACTTTTAGATAAAAAATGAAAACTAAAAATAAAAAAGTGAAGCTACTTTATTGAGTTGTCAAAATTTGACTTTTGTTTTTTAGTTTTTTTTTCTTTTTTCTTTTTTTGAGAATTGAAAACTGAAAATAGTTGCCAAATAAGTTTTCAATTTAACAAAAATGAAAGCTAAAACTAAAAAAATAAAAAAACAAAATGGGTATCAAACAACTCTTAAGTTTTCAAAATTGACTTTTAGGTTTCAGTTTTTATGTTTTTAAAAACTTAAACTGAACTGGTAATCAAACAACTGATCATCTATTGACAACTTACATGTAGATTAGGCCAGCAGCACTGTAATAGGTAGGCCAACGATGTATAGACGAAAAAGTACATCAGGAAACGCTTCAACAGTCAATCACTTTTGATTTTCTTGCTAGCTTTCCTTACTTGCGGTTCCTTTTGGGTTTTATAGGAACATGGCAGATGTTGTAACAACTGCTGCAGATATTGTAATCAACAGCCTGATAGAGATTGAGAACGAAAAGCGTTCCATGCAGCGTCCAAAAACTCCATTCCGTTTATAATTACGACTCACGCTAATTAGTGAAGTTGTCATCATAACATGAACTGATGATCCTTGATTACTTTTGTTAATTCATATTGCAATAAAGTTAATATGGTATACAACGATTTTAATTATTATTTCCGCATTGTTTAATTCTTTATTTCTTGGTAACAGAACCCAAAGCTGAAGCTACGCGCTTGCTAATTGACATGTAATTGTACTTTGCATTCTTTTTAGTTGTATACTTGTATGTGTTACAAATTTTTCAATAAGAAATAAATGCCCGTGACACAATCGATCTTTGTTCATGATAATTTCTGAATATTTGTTCATCAGTTTAATTCTTTGATCGGTGCGTATATTGTAGTAATTACTTATACAGAAGGTAAGAAGTGTACAGTTGGATGTGGATGAATTTATCGAGTTATGTTAAAGGCAAATAGGAATTAAAAAAAGATACATTTCTACGTTAGCAGCAAAAGGGGCATATATACCAACTACCAAGCCGGCCTATGAAGTTGACTTTATATGCCAAAATTAATACCATTCATGTAATTCTACCTCTAGCTAGACTTATTACCTTGATTGGCCCTTGCAAAAATTCGATGGGAAGAATACATCCCTGAAAAAAATCCTAAGAATTGGAAAAGGTAAGCAATTAGAAGCAACTGTACTGGTTGAAATAGTCCCCTAGACAGAGTGTGGTTTATGGTGTTAGTTTCTACCTATGCATTCTAGATTCGAAACTCTTTTCTCTCTAAATATTAATGTTGCAGTTTTGAATTCTCCCCCTCTCCTTATTAATTAACAATATTTTTTTAAAGTGACTTAGACAATGGCTTTTTTCTTTTCTAAAGCATAAGAATAATAACGGTACATCTTAATTCAGTATATGGATGATATATGATTGTTACAAACAATGATTTTAAGTGATTTTTCATTTTCAAAGTATGTTTTAGAGTTTTTTACGTGAAACATGAATGTTTGCTACAAATGTGTTCATACACCTATTATACAAAATCACAAGCTAAGCGATTACCTTGATCAAGTTCCAAAAATTTGTTGGTGTCAAAATTTGAAACAAAGTCTGGACTATGTTCAACATGTATTTATCCCGAGTGTTGCTTTCAATCTCGGGAGAAAGAGAAAATAGCCGTGCCAGTTGGAGTCTGCCAACATATAGTGTTTGCATTTGAATGGGTGTGAAAGTTGCGCGTATACCCAACGATAGTGCTCCGAGTGGGATGCTGACTCGGTTAAGTTTTTTACGTATCTCGAGTGAACAAGGACTTAAAATTCAGTGTAACTTTGTGTATGCTTGCCTAAAAAGTAAATGAAAGCGAAATAGAAACTAAAGCGAAAAACACAAAGTACTCATATCATGTTGAAGTCGAGATTACAGACGTTTTCAAAAGTAAAATTAGGTCGATGGGTTGAGTTACATGACTTGAAATGTAAAGAAGGCAGTAAGACTCTAGTAAGATCTACATGAGTCTACCGAGATCACTATTATCAGATTGTACTTAGTACAAAACACACGCCTATGAGAGAATTAAGGCGCTTGGAATGACACGTCAACCAAATCATACCATAAGGTGACAGAACTGAAAATTTTAGATCTCAGGGATAGTAGGATGTGCTTGTTTAGAAAGAAGGCTTTAAGATTGTAGCTGAAGAGTTAAGGGGTTTTGTTGAAAAGTAATTGAGTTTGTGTTGAAAAATAGTTGGGTTGATTAAAGAATCACTCAAGGTTTTGTACATCATAAAGATTGAATTTGACGAAGGTCTTGAGCTTAAAGGTATTTGACAATAAGGAAGGAGCAACCTCGATCATAACATTGAGTTGGAGTAGTGGTAGATTGGTCATTTGGCATTAACAAAAACTATAATTCCTGGTTAAGTGGCCTTTATAAGGATCCAAGTGAAGAAGAAAACAGCTATCCAAGTGAAGAGAAGATCAAGGGTCAAACTAAATGACACTTGTCAATAGATTAAAGAGATGGGCTGTTAGAAGTAGTTAAAAGCTGTTAGAATTATAGTTAAGATAATGAGGTGGAAGATTAGCAGCTAAGGAAAGTGAGAATATATAACTGAAATTGTAATCATAACAAGATTGTCAAGAAATCAATACATTTCTCTCTCTCTCTCTCTCTCTTTCTCTCTCTCTTTTTCTCTCTTTCTCTTTCTTTCGATCTCTCTCTCTCTCTCTCTCTTCTTTGTCTACATTCTGTGTAATTCTCAAGAACATATTCATTGAAGCTTTCTTAATGTTTACATGGTATCATCGCCAAGACGTGATCTGGCGCTTCCGCACCTCGATTAACAACATTCATTTCTTTTTCTAATCCTCTATTTTTCAAAGCTACTATGTGATTCTGCAAATTGGGCTTTCTCTACTCTCGAAGATCCTCAAGATTCGTTCTTCTTTGTTTGCCCTTTACGTGTTTGATAAAAAGCGTCTGTGAAAATTTCAACAATGGTGACTGCTAATTAATTGAAGATTGTTCAATCTCCTATCACAAGTCTTGTTTCCACAATTTCTACTTCGGTTAAGGTGAAGCTTGATGATTTCAATTATCTCAGTTGGAGTTTCCAAATCAAGTTACTCTTCGAGAGTCATGGCATCATGGGGTTTGCTGATGGATCAAGAAAGTGTCCTTCAAGATTTGATGATGATTCTGACGTTGAAGGAGTTGAGAAAGATGATTACTTGGTTTGGAAGATGCACGATCGTGCACTTATGCAATTGATGATTGCAACGTTGTCTACTACCGCAATGTCATGTGTAATTGGAAGTTAAAGCTCGCATGAGATGTGGGTGAACCTCACTGAAAGATTTTCTGCAGTTACCAAAGCCACGATTTTTCAGATGAAAACTGAGCTTCAAAACATCAAGAAAGGGTCTGAATCTGTATCTGTTTATTTGCAAAAGATCAAAGATGCACGGGATCATCTTGCAGCTGCAGGGGTCATATTTGAAGATGATGATATCATAATTCTGGCGCTGAAAGGACTTCCTGTAGAATTCAACACTTTTCGGTGTGTCATAAAGGGCAGAGAAAATGGTATTTCTTTCAAAGATTTTAGGTCACAATTGATTGCAGAAAAAGCTATAATTGGGCAGTTATTTAACTCCTCATCCTCTTTGCCATTTGGGACTGCAATGGTTGTTGGTACTCAATCAAGCAAAGGGAAATCATTGGTTCTTCATTAAGAATCATCACAATCTAATGAAGTTGGTTCTACTTCTGGCGTCTCTAGCCAACAGTTTCCTAGTCATGGAGGAATGTCAAATGCTCCTGGATATACCAATTCCTATCAGGGTTCTTATCACTATAGTGGTTACAAAGGGAACAATTTTCAAGGCAAAGGATGAGGTAGATCGTTTCACTATGGTCCAAGATCCTACAATCCTCCACCAAATAGTAGTCCTAGAATTCTTGGTGGACCAAAACCCTATCAATCCATCTGTGCAGAGCATCCCTCTAAAATCCCTATCTGCCAAAGCTGTAACATGAAATGACATGTTGCTATTGACTGTTTTCAAAGACACACTTCCAATTCTAGTGTCAATGTCCCAACTCAATGCCAAATTTCCTAGAAATTTGGACATTGGGCTCTGTAGTGCTATCATCGAGGCAACTTTGCATACCAAGGCAAATCTCTTGCACCAAATCTCACAGCTATGTATGCTCATTCTCAACCTTCTGCGCCTAAGCAACAATTCTGGATTGCAGACACTGGCGCCACTTCTCATATGACTTCTGAGTTAGCCAATCTGGAATTAGCTACTCCATATCAAGGAAATGACACTATAACCATAGCAAGTGGTACAGGTTTGAATATTTCTCATATTGGCACATCAAAGTTATATGTTTCCAATACCACACTTGCCTTGAAGAATGTTCTCCATGTTCCGAAAATTTCACAACACTTGTTATCCATCTATCAATTGTGCAAGGATAATAGGTGTAGATTCATTTGTGATGATACTTTCTTCTGGGTTCAAGACAAATCCACAAGAACAATAATACTCTAGGGGCTATGTAGAGAGGGCTATTATCCTATTCCTTTCAACATACCAGAGAAGCTGCCACCTGCATTATCTCATAAGTATACATGCTGCCTAGCAAAACCTGTCAATACACACTTATGGCATAATAGGTTAGGATATACATCAAATGTGATTACCTCTGCAATTCTACATTAGAATAAAATCCCTGCATCATCTGATACATGTCACTCCATTTGTACACCTTGCTTAGAAGGAAAATTTACAAAGCTACGGTTCAATTTTCCTATCACTAAATCTGTACAACCTCTAGAGGTCTTACACAGTGATGTACGGGGACTTGCCCCCTTGTTATCTCATGAAGGGTTTAGGTATTATGTAACCTTCATAGATGAATGTGCCAGATATATATGGGTTTTCCCTTTAAATAATAAATCAGAGGTTTTTACAACATTTGTGCAATTTTATGCTTATCTATGCACTCAATTCTTTGCAAAACCAAAAGTTTTACAAAGTGATGATGGGGGTGAGTATGTCAGCACAAGGTTTCAACATTTTTTATCACACTAGGGCATGTTACATCAAAGATCTTGTCCTTACACCCTAGAACAAAACGGGTTAGCAGAAAGGGGCATATTGTAGAAATTGCCATTACCTTACTTCGAACTGCACATTTACCATCTAAGTTCTGGTTTCATGCATGTGCTACAGAAATATATTTGATAAACAGAATGCCATCAGCTGTTTTAAAAATGAAATCACCTTTTCAATTGTTATTTCATAAAATTCCATATATTAGTCATTTGAAAGTCTTTGGTTGTGCATGTTTTCCCCTCCTTACCCCATACAATACCTCCAAACTGCAACCAAAAACGAAAACTTATGTCTTTCTGGGATATGCAGATCACTATAAAAGGTTCATTTGTCTCGACATGATCACTCAAAGAACTTACATATCTAGGCATGTCTTGTTTAATGAAACTACCTTTCTATATCCTCATGAAGCATCATTCCCTTCTTCACCAGTGTCAACACCTGCAAATTTACATGAGCATTCTCTAAATCCTACACCAGCATCTATATCATTACAAAATCAAGTTGTATCCCTTGCATCTCATACTCCTTCACCATCCTCTACAGCCACAGATTCTTTGAACTTGCATTCATCTAGTGCTTCAGATTCTTTGACTGCATCCAGTGCCTCAGAACCCATGGATACACTTGCATCTAAAGCCTCAGAGTTTATTCCTTCCCCTACACAA